TAATCGATTATCATAACAATAACTTGTTATTGCACACAACAAGAAACAAATCCTTTTTAGTAGAAGAGTAATAGTAAGCAAAAGCAAGAAGCTTCATGTTTTCTTCATAACAACTGTGAATCTTATTTATCTAAATGGCATATCTATCTAACTTTGATTGGTCAAATGCATAATAAAGTAGACAAGAAATCATTTTATGAACCGGTAAAGGCTTGGTTTTGATTGAATTATGTTGATTATGTCTCTACTACGGGTTTTGCCTAAATAAAAAAAAATTTCAACTTTTTATGCATCATATGTTCTTTCGGTAGATCTCTTAAAGCGATTTATTCTGGCGGTTTACGTTTGTCGATGAAATGTTTCAATTCATTTTTCATAATTTTTTATTGTAATTTAATATGAAATAATTTCCCAACATGCATTTTACTAAATGTTACCGCGATAAGCAGGCTAACTTTATCCACACGTCGTCTCACGTCGGTCAATAATAGATTTATCGTGATTATCTCATGATAGTCAATAATATATATAGCGCTGACGGTGAATACGAAGAGTATGAAAAAATTAATGTAATCAACTTTGATGGATTATTATACAAAAAAGGAAAGGAAAATGATAATAACACAAAAATGCATACAAACGTTAAAAAGATAAGTTTTCCTATTTTCATTGCTTATGTACATATGCACATACAACATTTTTCTTCTTTTTTTTTTTTGTATTATTATTCACTTAAGTTGTTGGTATAACAAAAAGTACTTTTTAAGTAGATCTACAAAGTTTTTCTAATCAAGTAAACAATAACTGCTTTGTTTAGATTAAGATCGAATCTTTCATGAATTTTTCACGAAAAACCTCTCTGCCAAGTTAATTACCCTCCCTGCTAGCTTGCTATAATACTTTAGTAGTATGAGTGTATAATATTTATGAATAAATTAAATTGCTTATCATAAATGTCGCGAGTCTTCTTAAGCCGTACTGTAGTAATAAATGTTTAAGTGTTTAAGTGTTTGTTGCAACAGTTGTTTATGTAGAAAATAAATTTTCCACTGAACAAGCATGTAAGTGAAACAAGTGGTGAATTTTTTTCGCAGTGGTGTCGTCACGCATAGTCAAAATAAAGAGTGCAATTATCATCTTTCTCTTAAGAGAAATGAAAAGCTTTACTTTTTGCGAATAAAAGCTTTATAAAAAGTAAAAGTAATAGTAAAAGCTACTCTAGCATCTAACAGTGCCAGGAATGCACTTAACAAAATTTTCGTGAATCATTCATTAAGGGGGGGAGACTTACTATCACTGGGAATAAGATGAAATGAAATTTGGGAAAAGTTTCAAAAGTTTTCGGGAAAAGAAGGAAAATCAAAATTAATTAAACATCCTAAGAACCTTAACAAACTTCGGAAAATTGTAACATCTTTTAGAGCATAGATCATAACATCGCACCGCAACCAGACACAGTCCTCTAAAGTGATTAAGGTTAAGTAAGCATAAAAACGTAGTTGACCTTTAAATACAAAGTGGGATATAAGTGTCTTAGAGTCTAGTTCCAAGTATCGTTCAAGTAATGCCGTATTTCAAATTCGCATCTCCATCCACATATTTCAAATAAATATATTTAAGAAGATCAGATGATATATATATGTATATGCAAACTATCAGCCTCGTGGTCTAAGTTTTAGGTGTCGGAACGGAAAGAACACAACTCTGTCTTGACGAGTTGTATAAGCGTAATCGTAAATTTCAAATCGTTCTCTAGGGTTAAATATGACTTTACACATTATTACTAACTGCAGACATCTGCTTAGGTTTGACAAACACGATTTTTATACTGCTGCAAACTATTGTGTACGATGACAACATGCTTGTGACTCCGGGAAAATACAATGAAAGCGGGTTTTCCAACAAAAAAAAAGCTTTTATTCTTAAAAACTTTTAGCTTTTTTGAGAACTTTTAAGATTTGAATGAAGCTACGGCGAAAAAAAAAAACTTTTATTATCTTGTGGTTTAATCGTTCTCAGACACCTTATCAATAAGTAAAGACATGCCATATTTGTCATTACGTTTGCAAATGTCCCACATTTAGATCAGATATCTTACCAACTATAGTTCGTCGAATTGGTAATGTCGCTATACACTCAATGTTTCATATTATGTTTATTTATGCGTTTGCATGAAGAAAACCAATAAAATATTTATTTGCTTACTTCGCTTACAACTTGCAACGGGAATCTGCAGAAATTGTAGAAATATACTAGACTTCTTCTTCTTCTTCTATCTACAACATTCAAAAAGATCTCGAGGAGCGCATTTCGATGACCCTATTTTAATTTAGCTCTGGGTTAATTTAAATATTATCGCCTATACGCGGTGATCACAAAGACGGAAGCAGGAAGCACGGTTAGCTAGTAAGCAAAAGTTTGAATACGGACTTGATCTGCAGAAAAACTAAAAATTCCGTTAACCTCTCCAGCAAACAATTTACAAAGTATTTTGTAATTTTTATATACTGCTTGAGACAGTATTATTGACACATTAAGCCGGATTATATATTCTCTGGAAGTGTTGGTGGATCGGATTCTAAAGCTAATAAGTCGGAGATTTTCTTGTTTTTTTTAAAATATTATCAATCACTCAGGTGGTGTCAGGAGATGTCGCCAAGTCGTATAACGCGGTGACAGTAAGAAAGCTCAGGAAGAGTTAGGGAGGTAATGGCCGCAGCCTAGTGGGCGTGCTCAAATGCGCATGGGCAATTTAGCCTGTTTTCAATACTAACCTGGGCGCAGAATGTTGCTACCAAATTTGAAGTTGATATCCTCGTTGTTGCGACCAGCAGAGTGGCAACAACATACACCGCACAGACACATAGACGGACAGACATGCCTAAGTCAACGCCGGGCTTCACGCTAATCAAAAATATATATAGTTTATAGGGTATCTGAAGCTTCATTTTGGGTGTCACATATATTATGGAAAAAAAACACAATACGTTTACCTCCATCTTACAGTGGTGGATATAAAAAACCTTCGAAAATCTAAACCCTTTTTGACATACATAATTGCCTATAGTGGATATTGTATCACAGTTTTTGTCAGATATTCTTCTCTATATGTATTTCGCAGAACAACCTTAGGCTGACTCAATTTATCAATTCGTATTAACAAAAATGTTTTTTTCTTTTTCGTTATTTAGTATTTTGCAATAGCAGGAAGACTGTTAACGCTTCATATAATCCTTTAATTTTTTTTTTTTTTTTTTTTTTTTGTTTAACGTTTTTAACCGACTTGACCTAGCCAAACATCTATTACTGATGGTCAATGAGTGTACAGTTTATTTACCTTCATCGCTTTGTTTTGTTTTCCTAACAAGTTTTTCCTTTTTTTCTATTGCTTTTTGTTAAATTAACAAATATGTGGCCCTTTAGTATAAATAGAAGCCAAACAAAGAGCAAATAATTTTACACAATGAAAAAAAAAAAAAAAAAAACAGAAGTTTTCTAGAGGAATTCCATGAAACTAATACAATAATAACTTTTGTTTTTAGTTAAATGATTGCAATAATTTCTAAAACAAATTTCCATAGAAGAGGGCGACGAAAATCTAAATCAGTTTATCAATCGTGCAAAAATCTTCGAGATGCAATTCCCTGATGTTAATCATAATGCAAAACATTAAGCATAGATTTAAAAATCAAATAATAAAGCAATAGTTGTACGTTGAACTTTATCATTAACGTCTCATGTTCCTTCCTGGTTGTCTGAAGATTTTTGGTAAAAAGACTTTCGTTATACAAAACATAGAAATGGCTTTGTGAAAACGTTATAATAAACATTCAATTAGTTTCCAGAAAATACGAATGATTATTGTTCGGTTGCAAGACTTGGTTCATAAAAAATCAACATAAGCTACTCGTGGTAATGTGGAGAAGAATTTTTAAACATCAATGCGCCGAACCCTTTTCAGTTTATAAATGTACGACTTTTTTCCAGCTATCAACTCAGGCTCATGTAGAATTTAACAGGTGACCAGTTTTATCATGACCGGGTGAATCCTGAAAGAGTTTAAACGTTTACTGTTAAGTTACTTAACGATCTGGTTTTAACAACTCATGGACGAGATTGGTTTGTCGTAAAGGAAAAGTGTTTTCTTTAAACCCAACGATAAGTGAACGACTGTTGCAATTGATTTCTTTTAGCCAGCACTACGCACTGTATACACATGGGGCTTATGCACCGAAAGTCGACACAAATTAATCTGCTTAGAATCTCAACTATGATGTGTAAGAAAAGAATTGTTGTCCTATTTAAAAAACCACTTCCGACGAAACTCAGATCAACTATACTCGAGTGTGTAGGACGTGGCGCGGTTTCAGCAGATATAGTATTAGTTTGTACGCAAACTTTACAACGAAGAAGCTCAGCTTAGCTCTGAGTCCATCCAATCCGATCTTGTATAGAGTGGACTAATTTCTTTGACCGCATCTTAAAAAGAATTGAAATGAATCTCTTTTTCATCTCATTAGTGCATAGACGCAGTAATCTTTTGCACAAAACTGATACGAATTACGATTTTAGTCATGTCATGTGTCAAATTATTGAAAATGTTAAGCTTCCACACGTGTTTTTCTTTCTTGCGGGTACAAAATTTTCTTCTTCCATTTTCAACTAAACGTGAGTCTGGTTTTTCGTGTTTCGCTTCTTTTTTTTTTCACTTTTCTGTGATAAGCAAATGTGACTTATTACGTTTGACTACTTGAAAAAAAAATAATCAATCGTCTTATTGTCATTTATTTTCTTCAACTTTCCAGTGACCGATATTGAATGAACGGTTAATGCAATTAGGGGCATAAACCACAGAACGTTTTAACTTATTTTGAATAGTTCTTCATGAACTCTTGAATTCTCAACATTAAAATAATCGGAAGAGAAATATCCAAAAATTACTATACGGATAGTTGTTAAGGATATTGTGGATACTTATTACTTAAAAAGGATATCAAAAAAAAAAAAAAAAAAAAAAAAAAAAAAAAAAGGATTTAAGCAAAAAGCCTCGAAGAAAAAGCGTGCCATAAGAAAATTGGCGTTTAGCTTCGATTTTCGCTTTTAAATTAAGTGAAGCCATAAAAGTGCGCTTTTACATTAACTAAAAAAAGTACGTAAAATATCTCTTAAATATTGTAAGCAATCGATAAATTCGTTGAAAAAATCGTTAAATAAAACTTAAAATGAGCGTTTTATTCAAAATAGCCCGAAAAATCAAAATTACGCTAAGGCGAAATGCGAAAATGAATTATTGTTTCAATAAAACCTGTCATGCTTACAGCAAAAAGAAACACCAAAAAAAAAGGACACCTCGAGCTTGAAAAGACGTGAGAAAATGTTTATTGATAACTTTATGGTGGGCGGAAACAAAAAAAGATATTTAACTTTGAAAAAATTTAATTAAAATTTTACCCGAATATGGCAAATCCTTTTTTTTATCCTTATGAAGGATTACCGTTAAAATGATATTGTTGGTCAAGTTCCCTTCAGCCTTTTAAAGGCTTATGCGGCTCTGAAAAGGTCTCTACGTTAACTTCATCGTTCAATTAGCACGACGAAGCCGTCGTAGATTTTATTAAATAAATTTTTTTGTATTTTCAAGGCAACAGAATTCAGAAGTTGAAGCCTGGCTTCACCAATACTGCTACTACTTCTACCACTACTACTACTAATTGCTTAAACATTTCGTTCCGAGCCGAGAAATTAACGCGATTATAACTGGAAAATATCAGATAATTATCTATGCAGAAACTATGAAGAGAGGTCATGGCAATGGGGCAATAAATCGCATGCCAACAGATTTAATATACTGACCAGCTTGGAACATGGATGTGCTCTAAGTTGTGTTCATGCATTATTCTTCTTTAATGTGAAATTCAGAGACTTTTAGTAGGATAAACTAGAACTGAAACGTTCCCCTTGCTCGAATACCGCAAATAAAATTTGAAACAACTATACATAACCTATCAATAGAGCTACGATCTTCAGTTCAGCGATAAAAAAAAACCGCCTTTTATTCTGGAATCTGTAACATGTGTAGGTTGAATTATTTTATAAAAATATTTCTCAGTCCTGTTTTAATACACTAACTACTCATGTCACTTTGATCCTTTTTAACTTTTGGGGTTCAAAGGGGGTTTCAAAAGGCGTTTATAAAGCATGTCATGCTCCAAAAGTTGTTTAATCACTTGTTTTTGCTTGAGAATATCTTTTCTCTTACGTGATCTAGTTTTCGAGATGCCGATGACATAAACCTATTTCTACTGGCAGGGATCATTTTGTTCGCCTATTTTTGATTTGGTCGTAAAACAGAAGATAGAAACCTGAAATTCAGCATAGACATGTCCTGATTGATCAAAAATGTGAGATTAAAAGTTGGCAACTACCTCTTAATGTGTCCGTCCGTTATATGAAGAAAACGGAAACACCTCAAAAAAAAAAAAACAACTACAACAATTTTTTTCCCATCTTTGTCTATATAACTTTCGATCGTGTGCAGATATATCTGAGAACTTCCGATTTCCGATAAATTGAATTTACAATGCGCTCACAATCGATGGATTAATAAACCAATCGCGACCATTTCCTAATTAAAATTGCAAAACATTTACATAGCAACTTTTCCGAAATAGCTTGACAGAATCGAAAGTTATAGACGAAGGTGGGTATGTATGTAAGCAAATCGCTATCATTTTTTTAACAATGGATTCTTAATCGATCAAGCAATGTTTGCGCAAAATTTTAGCTCCCCCTTTTCATGTCCGCTCTCTGCCTTTTGGTACAAATAGATTTCAGATTTAATATCCCAACTCATTAAATACTGATATCTCCCTTTCAAGTCACACTCTCTCTCTCTCGCCTGACCTAAAGAATTTTGTAATATTAGAGTGAAAACTGGCGGTAATTTGGGCTTACCAAAGCCATCCTCAATCACATGAACATTCTACGCCCTTTTCAGCCCTTTTCCTATTAAAATGTTTAAATTACTTATTTTACAACAACAACCGCTTTGAATTCCAAGCCGCAGCGTTATGTTCTTATCAGCGAGCTTATGGATAAAAACAAAAGATCTGTGTCCATCAAGCAAGTTCAAGTGTCTTTCAATCTTTACGAACTTAAGTGTTCCGGCTATTGGGCAGACGAGCGTAAATAATAAAGAATACGTGAATTTTATGAGAATTAATATCTTAATCCTTCAGATTCTCAAGAAACCATAACACAATTTATTTAATTTTGATTAAAGTTTTAATTTTATTTTTTAATTGTAGTTGTATATATTAATTATTGGGAATCGAGGTATAGAACTGTGAAAACAAGATAATTCAAAATGCCAGATGATGATCCGGAAAAAGGTGAACAACCACAATATAATATCGGATCAACCGAAGAGTATATATTAACCGAAGTTGAAAAACATTTTATTTTGGCTGCTGAACGCGGTGACATCGCTGGTGTAAAAAAGTAATTATATATATAAATTTGATATACAATATATATATATATATATATATATATATTAATATCGATTAATATCGGTTAGAATAATCGAGGATAATGAGGGTAATCCAGATCGTTTTAATATTAATTGTGTCGATCCTATGAATCGTTCAGCACTGATATCGGCTATCGAAAATGAAAATATCGACTTAATAGATTTATTATTGGAGAAAAATATACAAGTAGGCGATGCCCTATTGCATGCTATATCTGAGGAATATGTTGAAGCAGTCGAACTACTTTTACACTGGGAAGAAACTCATCACAAAGAAGGCCAACCTTATGTAATATAAATAATAATAATAATTATTTTATACATAATTTGTAATTAAATGAAAATTTTGTTGCCATTTGTAGAGCTGGGAAGCAATTGATTCATCGAAAGCAACATTTACGACAGACATTACCCCCTTGATATTGGCTGCACATCGTAACAATTACGAAATTTTAAAATTATTACTAGATCGTGGTGCTACACTTCCTATGCCACATGATGTAAAGTAAGTCCCTTGTAATGGCATTGCATGTATTGTAAAGTAAGTAAATACATGCAATACATGCATTGTTACAACTGAAATCAACTTATACCCCCAATGCCAACAACACGTTATATGTTTTGTTTAGCAATTAGAAAATTTGCTAATTTCATTCTGAATAGTGTTGCAATTGTACATACCGTCCAAATTTAGCCATTTTTCTGTCATTTTGACACGTTTTGTTTATTTATTTTTGCTTTTTCCTGCGAATGTGTTTGTGTATGTGTGTGTGTGTGTGTGTTTATATGATTCTCTTTTAAAAACAATCGATGATAGTTCGAAATGCTTTGTTGTCCATCTATGTGTATAGTAATGTTTTCTCCTTCTTCTCTTTTTTTTTTTTTTTGTAATGGTCCAATAAACTTTGTAAACTTCATGTACATGTAAATTGTTTAGATTCAATGACCACCAAAGATATTACGGATTTTGCTTTTCATATTTTTTTCTTTGCATTTTTTTTTTTTCTTATAAATCGAAATGTTTTTCACATTTAACCCTTAAATAAATGAAACGATAGTGGAATTATGAAAATCGCCTAAATATGAATTAATGTTTTCTTTAGCGAACAATGAAATTGTACTTGTCAAACTAAGCCGGTATTCGAACCTGAATATGGCTTATCATAATTTTTCTTCTCCTGTTTTATTACAACATTTTTGATTTAAAATTTCCTTCGCTTCGAAAAGTCTACGCTCATCTAGATGGATCTATAAAGATCACTGCCTTCAAGTTACTTCCTTTTACACTAATCAATTAATACAGAGAAAAGTTGTGAAATATTTCGGAGTTTATCCATCATCGATAAAGAGCCTCTAACCTAATTCATGATATAGAGAGCTCAACCATCTGATAAGCGATGTAAAGAAATTTAGCATTTTTTAAACAGCTTTCTGATTCTCTTCTTCTTAAAACTGACCATTAGCGCAAAACGAAGACGCCGGACTTTCGAAACTCAATTTTGAAATGGTATAAGTTCCTTAAAAGCGCTTCACTAAGCCTAAGTAACAATTGAATCGAGTTCTTTCTTAATGTAATCGATCCGAAGAGTGCTGCAATTGGCTCGATTTTTTTCTTATGTAATCGATCCGAAGAGTGCTGCAATTGGGTCGATTTTTTTTTCAGCAGAGATCGTTAATAACCGATTTTGCGATTCTTGTAAGCTCAACTCAATCTCGAGGTTCATACATGTCTTGCAAGATCTACATTCTCTCGTAAGCTCAACTCAATCTCGAGGGTCATACATGTCTTGCAAGATCTACATTAAGTCGGGCCACTTTTGCATGACTGCATTTATAAAGTAATTAACGATCCGATACGTACCAGAATTTAGTGTAACAAGTTGTTTTGTATTCTCGGTTCATTCACCTACAAGATATAGAAGAAGAATCTGAGGATTGCTTTACATTGCAGTCATTTGTGAATCATTTTCATTGCAATCACGCTTGTTATTTAACTTTGAAATTTTTTTGATTTAACGAGAATGAAAAGATGGCAAAATCCGATACCATTTTCTAACAATGTTGAAATATTAAAATTTCTTTAGATGCGGTTGTGACGAGTGCGTGACATCGCAAGAAGCGGATTCTCTACGTTATTCGCAAGCACGTATTAATGCGTATCGTGCTCTATCCGCCAGCTCATTAATATCATTAAGTTCGCGCGATCCCGTATTAACGGCATTTGAATTGTCTTGGGAATTGAAGCGTCTGCAAGCCATGGAGTCTGAGTTTCGTGCTGAATATGCGGTACAATGGCATAACAATAACAGTAATTAATTTCAATACTGTAATGTATATATTTCATGTTTAGGAAATGCGTGCGGCAGTACAAGAATTTGTTTCTTCATTATTGGACCATGTGAGGACATCTAATGAATTGGAAATAATGTTAAACTATAATCATGAACCGTCGAATGATATTTGGGCTCCCGGACAAAGACAAACTTTGGAGCGTTTAAAATTGGCCATAAAGTATAAGCAGAAAACGGTAAACAGAGAGAAAATTGTACCCTACTAAAATCTGAATGATTTTTTTTTTTTATAATTTTTTAATTTTTATTAAAGTTTGTGGCCCATCCCAACGTTCAACAGTTATTGGCCGCAATTTGGTATGAAGGTCTGCCAGGCTTCAGACGCAAACAAATGTCTCAACAGGTGATGGAAGTCGCAAAGTTAGGCTGCATGTTTCCCATCAACAGTATGAATTATCTTATGGCTCCCGATTCGGATGCGGGAAAATTTATGCGAAAACCTTTCGTTAAATTTATATCACACTCATCTTCATATATGTTTTTCTTGTGTAAGATTAAAAAGATGAAATCGATAACTCAAACAAACTCAATTAAATTATTATTCCTTTTCAACAGTTCTATTGGGTGCGGCTTCATTGCGCGTTGTTCAGCTAACCTTCGAATTGTTGGCATTTCCATGGATGTTGGCCATGCTGGAAGATTGGCGTAAACATGAACGCGGTTCTTTACCGGGGCCTATCGAATTGGGCATAATAACCTATATATCAAGTAATGATTTGATTTTTTTATTTTAATTTCGTTTTAAATCTCTTTCCTTTTACTACCTTTGTCTGCTCTCTTCGTAGGTTTAATTTTTGGCGAACTTAAAGCATTGTATAGCGATGGTTTGTTTGACTATATAACCGATTTATGGAACATTGTCGATTTCATATCAAATATGTTTTATGTGACTTGGATTTTGTGTAGAGCCACCGCTTGGATTATAGTGCACGTAATGTGTTTTTTTTCAAAATACTCGAAGAATCTTCCTCTTATTTGTACCCTTTTTCAATTAGCGTGATTTATGGTACCGCAACATTGATCCATATTTCCCTAGAGAGCACTGGCATCCCTTTGATCCGATGTTGTTATCAGAAGGTGCTTTTGCCGCCGGCATGGTATTCTCGTATCTTAAATTAGTTCACATATTCTCCATTAATCCTCACTTGGGTCCCTTACAAGTTTCTTTGGGTCGCATGATTATCGATATTATAAAATTTTTCTTTATTTACACTTTGGTCTTGTTCGCTTTCGGTTGTGGACTAAATCAGTTGCTCTGGTATTATGCCGAATTGGAAAAAAATAAATGCTATCATCTGCATCCCGATGTTCCCGATTTTGATGATCAGGAAAAAGCATGCACTATATGGAGACGATTTTCAAGGTAACGATAGCATGACATTATTCAAAAGATCTATTCAATAGTGGCTTTAGGACCTACTTTTCTATTATTTAGGAAATTTTTTTTTCGCATATAATTAAAGTCGATAAAAATTATTTTTGTTTGCTCGTTTAGTTTTGTGTCATGTTTGATAGGCGAATTCAAATTTTACCCTGTTCACTCAACGTCATTCAACGCGAAGAAAAAGGAAAAAAACAAAAAGTACTTAAATTCGGTTCAAGTCACGCTATGGAGATTCCATTTTTACTTGGTCATGTGTTGGTCGAAAGTTGACTGATTTAACCATTCCAAATAACATATATATGTTTGAACAGACATTTTTTTCTCAAGCACATCACAACTCTATAATTGTGACATGTTATGTAGGCGTTACATGTATAACTTTTATGGTACTGTCCGCGTGAATGTGTCCTTAGAAATGCATAGCTAAAAAATATACTAAATTATATATAATTCGCATGAGTAGCCGCGTAGATAGGAATCGCGATTACAGTGTTCACAAGTTTAAATCGCAGTGCGGTGGAGTTCACTTTGATCGTTGCTGCAGTAAGTGAGTGGTCAGTCGGTGAAAGCATAACACTTATGAATTGCGCCCACGTCCACTAAGCTGCGGTCACCACCTCCCCGTTTTCCTCGTTTCTTTCTTTGTCCTCATTTCTTTTTGACCACGACCTCGATACGCGAATAGGGGACATCCTGCATGTAATTAGTCATAGATGAAATAAAAAAAAAAAAATACCGAAGATCCGACCATTGCGATCGATATTGTAAAATCGATGTAGATAAACTAAGATCCGATTCATAGGAGAGATAATATCAAACTGCATGGAGAAAAGACCGTAAATTTATAAGACAACATTTTTTTTAGTTTAATAATGAGTTAGGGCAATACTTTTCGAAAACATTGAAAAAGTGTATATGCGTGTTAAGCGATCAGATAATATATTATATATCCGTAAGCATATTATCTTTATTTTTTATTTCGTAGCTTATTTGAAACGTCACAATCACTATTTTGGGCTTCATTCGGTTTAGTGGACTTGGTTTCTTTCGATTTGGCCGGCATTAAGAGTTTCACACGATTCTGGGCTTTACTTATGTTCGGTGCATATTCGGTGATTAATGTTATTGTACTACTAAACATGCTTATTGCCATGATGTCCAATTCATATCAATTGATTTCGGAGCATTCGGACGTTGAATGGAAATTCGCCCGCTCACAATTATGGATGAGCTATTTTGAAGATGGTGGAACTGTACCGCCACCGTTCAATATTATGCCATCTGTGAAGCTTTTGCGTAAAACATTTGGCAAACACAAACCTAAGCGTACGAGAAGTTTTATGGTAAGTTATAAGTGTAGTGAACGAAAGTTTACATAGAATTTGTAGCATTACATTCCTGGTTGGGTCTAAGAGCAATGTCTGTAACTTGCTTCCATGCTCTGATGTCGAAGAAAGACTCGTTGTTATATTATCCACATTATTACTTTAATGTGTTGTTTCCAATTCGTTGCACACGATATGCACAAAAAATGTGTGATAAGTGTTATCACGACCGAAACTACTTAATTTTGATGGCTATTCGCGCATATATTTGAATTTAGATAAATTTAAAGATATTGTACTTATTTATTAGGTATTACAACGTGTTAGAGGACTCCATGCACACACAGCATGATTAGAATGACATGACGCCACCGCCATAGAAAAACGAAAAAAAAAAAACATTAGAAATATATTGCAAACTGTTGCATTGAACATACAAAGGCGAAATATTGAAATCTTTGTTATCCGTTTTTTTTCCGTATTTGTCTTACTTAGCGCAAATCAAAGGAGAAAGCACAAGATTTACATGAAAAAGTCATGAAACTCTTGATACGACGTTATGTCACTGCCGAACAGAGGCGTCGTGATGATTTCGCTATTACTGAGGATGACATCATCGAAGTGCGTCAAGATATTAGCTCATTGCGTTTCGAATTGTTGGACATTTTTCAAAATAATCGATTTGATGTACCGGATATTGAAAGGAAAACAGCGGGTAAGCATCATATTAATCGTTATTGGCACAAGCAAATATCTAATTTTGAATTTTTATTTATAAAGCTGCTGGCACTAAAAAAGGTAAAGTTATGGAGCGACGCATCCTTAAAGATTTCCAAATTGGTTTTGTTGAAAATCTGAAACAAGAAATGGACGATACTGCAGAGACAGATCGCGATATCTTCTCCTCGTTGGCTAGAGTTATTGGCAAAAAGAAGGGGTAATATTTCTAGATTTATTTACTTATACTTAGTAAATTGCAATTAATTCAACTTTTTATCCTTTCAACAGAGAAAAAGATTGGAATGCCATTGCGCGTAAAAATACTGTCAGTGCAGACCCGATTGGCAGTAAACGTTCTTCAATGCAACGCCATAGTCAACGTAGTTTAAGGCGTAAAATTATCGACGAGGCTAACGAAGGCCTGAAAATGAACCAAAATCAATTGATAGGTATACGACTGAGTATTCAACTTAAAAGAATCTTTTCAATTTTTGTTTATGTTGGGATTTTTAGAATACAATCCAAACTTGGGAGAAGTAACACGAGCCACACGCGTTGCTTACGTAAAATTCATGAAAAGGAAAATGGCCGCCGAAGAAGATGTACCCCTACCGGAGCCAAGTGTTAGTACTGAAAATGAAAAACCCAAACCTAACTTTACGGCCACTTTAAGACGACTCGAAGTAAGCGAAAGTATTGCTAAAGTGTCATATGCACAAATTCAGTTTTTGATTAAATAATTTCAGTCCAAAAAAGACGGTGATCCTAATGCTGCGCCAGCCGACAATAAAGAGCCTCCTAAAGAGGCTTCTAAAGAAGCTACTAAAGAGCCTCCCAAAGCTACGGATAAGAAAGCAGAAACCTCAAAAGCACCACCCGTACCGCCGAAAACGTCAGATGCTAAGGCGACTGATAATAAACCTGCTGCCCCAGCTCCGCCAGCAAATGCTCCTGCCAAACCCAATGTCGCTAAGCCTGATGCGGCTACTAAACCCGACGCTGCCGATAAGAAAAGTGAAGAGAAGAAAACGGATGCCGCTAAGCCGGATGCTAAATCAACTGCGACAGCTTCTAAAGGTGCTGCGCCTGCTGCTCCCAGTGGAGAAAAGCCAGAAACAGCTCCAAAAGGTGCAGCTGAAGCTGCCAAAACCGCTTCTACTGATGCGACAAAAGCTAACGATGGTGGTGGTCAAAAAACAGATGATAAAAAATCAGAAGAAGCTAAGAAACCCGATGAAAAGAAGCCGGATGATAAAAAGCCGGACGATAAGAAACCGGACGACAAGAAACCCGATGCGAAAAAGCCAGACGATACAAAGCCAGGTGATAAACAACCAGACGACAAAAAAACCGATGAGAAAAAACCTGAAGGCGCCGATAAGAAACCTGCACCCGCAAAACCCGCTATTAAGGTGGGTCAAAGTAGCGCCGCGGCAGGTGGAGATCGTGGCAAATCTACAGTAACCGGCCGCATGATATCTGGCTGGCTTTAAGCAAATTAAAGAAATGATAATAATATTATAATAACATCATAAGAATGTAATATTATTAATAACAATAAGAGTAACAAACAATAATAATATAATGTGTATACCTGTGTTATTTTTTAATAAAATTTTAATAACAACCTAGTTTGGATTTGCATTCAGAAGCCATACCGGCGAATAAATTTTCAAATTTAATCCTGGATCTTGCGTAGGTAAAGCCCAAGACTTGTGCCTTTTAATAAAAACTACAGACATTTTTTACAAAAACCAAGCTGTAGTCACAAAAACAACCGTAATTTGTAAACCAATGGTCATCTTTGAGTGCTATATTATGTTGCCTACTACCACACCCTTCTAATCATCATCATCACCCTTGTTTTTCCAACGATTTCAACATTTTGCGTACAAAAAACAAACTCGATGATCAATTTCTTTTATCCGAAAACACTTCTTAACCGTTAATCAGATATGTGGATCTAAAAATTTACTTTAAATAATTAAAAAATTAATTAGTCACAAAACGACATAGATTTTAATTTATATAGTTATTAATAAGTTGCAACCGTTCATTTCTCAAGATATATGTCGCGAGAAGCCACATTAAAATATGGTTTAAAAATATTGTCTGCTAACGGAAACATCCGATTTCTTTGCATAATAGGCGGTCTTTATTTTAGGTAATAATCAAATATCGCATGCGAGCTAATTATTGAAGAGAGAGCGTAATCTCAAGTTCAAATTAAAATCAATGACAGGAGTTGTGCTGAACTTAAAGCCATGCAAGGAAATGAGCAAACGAGATCACGGCTAATTTATCGATGATCGAAAGTATCTTAAAAACATATGTAGTTTGGGAAAATTTTAATTAAAATGCTTGCGTGATTAAGTAACACAAGAAATGGGGAACGTCAAAGTAAAGTTAAGTATGTATATAAGTAAGAATTAAATAATTAAAACTAATACGTAAAACTGTCGCTTGGGAAACTTCAATTCTTTTTTTTTTTTTGATAATTATATTAAAAATTCTGCCTGAATGGACGAATAAGGCAAGAAATTCGAATGCCAAGTGCGGATTCCATTAAGCCGCTAGCCCTAGACGCTAATGATTTAAGACTTAGAATTTATTTCTGTGACTAAATTAATAATAATAATAATAATAGTGGTATGCAAATTTGATGTCTCACTGGTACTTTGGAGACGCCAAGCAGTTTAAAGTTAAAAACAAATGGAAGCTTAACTATAGTGAAACTTCGTTTATTGCATATTCATATAAACGCTTTATATGGAGATTATTCGAAAAATGCAGCCTGTAAGCTGGGTATCAGAATCGGTGGAAAGACACATGGACCGACAAGTAAGTTTACAATAGAAAAGAAAACAGACGAATGGACGGACAGACAGACACGCTTAGATTTTAGTTAATATAAAAAAAAAAAAACTATTTAAAAATTTTTAAACGTTCAACTTATAAAATATTTTCTTTTTTAAATAAAGTGAGAGAGAAAGTAAGAAAATGCTAAAATACCATAATAAACATCTTCGTTGTTTACTAGAACGTATCTGCTTATGAGAATACATTGTATCTACAAATGCATATACGTATCATACAATCATGTGAATGTGTCTCTTGTACTAAAGCAACAAAAACATTCATATGAACTTGTATTCGCATTAAGACGTTCTCCAATTGGTTGTTACTATTACGTACAACTACATCTACACTTATAGTCACAGTGGCGAAGAGTTTGCCGTAGGCGATACCTATTGTCTTTTTTTCATATAAAAGGACATGAATTTGAACAACAAGCAAGCATAATTTAGTTGAACGTGTTACAAAAAGCATAGAAAACAAAGTCATCTCTTAATGAAAGAAGAGAAATTAAGCAAAATATACAATATTTTAAATTTTTAGAAACCAAACTTTTCTAAAACGTTATTTGTTAATAAAAAAAAAAAAAAAAACACAAAAACACAAAAAAAAAATTTCATCAAGAAACGTATAAATTGAAATTAATAATTTACTATAATAAAATATAAAGAGAAAATGAAATATTTGGTTGGAATCATATTTCTAATTTTATCGCCAGCGATCTTTAACGTGCTGGGATTGGAAGAAACGGGTAAGTTGTTTATAAAAACAACAGAGACTGAAAGAGGAGAACAGAGTGAAAAATTGCAAATTATCGAATTCATAAGATGTTCACCAACTTTGTGCCTTGCATCCGCACGAATCTAAGATTTATAAATGAAAAAAATTTTCTTTAATTTTTTCAATTATTTAGACAAAGTTTGTAAGTTAATAAAATTACTTTTATGGAAATTGAAGACTTTGCCCGTTTTGTAAGTCCTGTTTGCGGCCAAGTTTGCTCAAGTTTCTGAAATCAACTTTTTCCGTGGAATGTTTGACGAAAATTAAACAAAACTGTTCCCATTTTCATCAGTTTATTAACTTTTTAAGGTTTTTAATGCAAATAATGCAGTCTAAAATAAATGCAACAAACTCTGCGAATGTAAAAAATGTTAATCTACAAGAACGGCATGATAAACCTAAAGCGTTGTTATAATAAAACGAATTTCGAAATTATAAAACTACGTAAATTGATTTTGCTTCAAAAAACTTCTCATTTAAATTTTTCGCGAGTCCAATAGTCTAAGTTTGTATGCATGCCAAGGTGTATCAACATAGCAAGTAAAAAATTTATATTCGACATTGACCCTCTGATGCAAAATGCAAAAGTATTGCTAAGAATTTTTTAAACTACGGCGTACCTGTTAGATAAAAAGCAATATTTTACTCAAGTTTCAAATGTCCTTTTTTTTTTTTTAGTTATAGCGTTTTCGTACAACCGCACTAAAGCCTTACTTCATCCTACTATTTATACCATGGTTCCGATCAATTATTGGCTGTTATGGAGCTTGGTGCCCAAACTTTAACTGTGTCAGTGTCAAGTGTAAACCTGTTACGCTAATTTTTAGGAAGGCCTCCCTTCACCCTCAGGCAGGCACGCTCATAAACTTAAAAGTCCCACGTCCTCTGGCCCACGTACAACCATAACTATATAAAGAATTGAAGATATATGTTGTATATGTTTGCGCATACAATATATAGAATATATAGATATATTCCCATGTAGTTAAGCCGAGTTTGGTCTTTGGTCTTGTCAATTGTATTCTCTGTAAAGTAACAGTTATGACTACTACACGTTAATACATATTTATATGTATGCTTATATTTATATATAGATAAGTCTGTCTATATCTATGTACATTATCATATGAAATAAAGTTCATTTATTATATGAAAGGAGAAGAAGTAAAAGAGAAGAAATCTTACTAATATGTTTGAAAGCCTGATTTTATGACATGAAATTTCCAAACCTTAACTCTGAAAATTAGAAAGCAACATTTAATTGCCAAAACTCAAGGACGAATAGTCGATAAACTTTGTTTGTAAACTTCAAGTGACGAAAGCTAGGACATGACTTGTAGAAATATACATCGAAGACCTTATCAAATACTTATTCTGCTGATAGAGCAGATCAAGATCCATCTATAGATCTATTTGAAATTATGTGACGGCAAGCTGAAAGTCAGCTAAGCAGTTTTGCAAACGTCCTTTATGTACTCCTAAATATGTATCTTAACTGAATTGAAACTAGCACTCTAAACATATGCTTAATAGTTAGCAGTTTATCACTGCCTTCAGCAAATTTCATTCACATAAATACATTTTATATATGATGCATGCACTTCAGGTAAAGACTCTATGAGTGAGAGAAGAAGAGAAAATAGTTCAAGTCCTAGATATCTCTTACTAAACTATAATAAAAAGCAATTTTGCTAAAATCTTTTAATTCGCTTTAAAAAAAAAATCTAAACAAATTTCACGTGACGAAGATAATTTTTTTTCTTGAGAAAAGAAAATAATTGAAGTGAATGTGAAATTTGCACAATTGCTTTAAAAATAACTTGTAAGTTATGAAAATTTCAATGCACAAAGAATCGAAAATCAATAAACGATAACTATTAAACGGCGATGATTAGAATTAATTAATATTATCATGAATGTGAGATAAAGAAGAAAGAAGTGAAAACTTATTAATAAGATAATCGATAGAAATAAGCTGAGATTTGTTTCAATTAAATGTTATTGAGGAGCACAAGGAACATCACATTTCGTTGCTTTGTATGTTGCTGCTATTTATCTACTTATTTATTTGTTTATTTACACGTGTAAGTTTTATTGTGCATGTAGCGGTATGCGTACGTTTATTAAATTTAAAAGATTTTAACTTTAGTTGTTTTTTTTTTTATTTCATTTGCAAAATAATTAAAAACGCGAAATGTAAATATATATTTCTTCATTTTAAATTAATTTAATTTCCCTTTGTTTTTTTTTTTTTTCCTTTTAAACATATTTTAATTTTTTATACATATTTATTTATTTATTTATTTATTTATTATTTTTTTTCCTTTATTATTATTATTTTTTCCAATATTTTTATAACAGAATTTCAACAAACAAAAAATCGTCGGGGTGGTAGTAGCAGCTCAAAACTCCTTGCTTTTCCTCGTATAGGTCGCCGTGATCCCAGTATGCCAAATAATTTACTCAATAGCGAAGCGGAAAACACTGCAGCCGTTGCCATTGATTTATTTTATCCTGACTTAACCGAAGAATATGGAGGTTTATCTATTGTCTGAATAATTACCTAACGCCACTAATTTTTAATTTTTTAGATTATCCAAAAGCAGAATATAAACGAGCCAGCTTAAGGGCCTTTCCCCGTATTGGTCGCTCAGATGCCGAAATACGTAAATGGACTCGACTCTTGGCTCTGCAACAAGCCTTAGATAAGCGTGCTGGACCCAGTGCCACGACGGGTGTATGGTTCGGTCCGCGTCTAGGCAAACGTAGCACCGCCGGTGATTCTTACGAGTAAAACGGAATCAGTATATCTCGGCTATAAACAATGACCACTGTTTAAACGACCTATGACCCAATGATTATCAAAGATTATAAAGCGAAAATTTTTAAAAACTTTATAAAAAAAAAAAAGTAATATTAAAAAAAATATATATATTATGGCTCCCTTTTGTGTATTATAAAGAGATCAATTTTTGGTTTGTTTATTTCTCTCTGTTAATTTTGTTGATTGATAAGTTCATAAGCCGTGAAAATTAAGCCTTATTGTAAATTAATTCCCGGTTGAGCTGAAATATGTTCTTTTAAACGATAATAACTCGTGTATATATCTAAACAGTAGGTAAACAAAACAAAAAAAAAATAAAATTGTAAGCGGGCTAATGTAGACATATGTTGTGTTACATTAAACAAAACTTTAAAATTATTTTAGGTAAAATCGTCAAAATTCTATATTAAATTTATTAATTAGAATAATGGATACATTATGATTCGTAGCCCAAGCGGAAATTTTAATCTAAGCGAGACTTTACAATTAATGTGATATTGTTAAAATGTTTTTCTTTTTGAAGAAATTTTCAAAGATATTCTAATATAAAATGCAATGAAAAAGTGAAAAGTTTTGATGTTTCATTGAAAACCAATTTTGGACCGATGTTAGTATGAATTTCAAAGTTACACTACGTATTCATTTTTATTGTCATTATTTTTTCTTCACCTGCAGGCGCACCGCACCGTTCAACGACAGATACACAGACACATCGTCTAATCAAGTCAGAATTTTTCATCAGTCTAGTCTATAGTCTAGTGTAAATGTCTGTTCTAAAGAATTTTAGAAGGAAAAATAGTCACATGAAGATTAAAGCGCTAAAAGAAATCGAAAGGCAATAGTAAACGTAAGAGCCTTCTGTTGTATGAAATGAATGGGTCCAACTAACAATTTGGCTAATTTTTTTTTAACTAACTTAACAATGAAAGAGAAAAACAAATCCAAATATTTTTATATCATAATCGCGCATGTTGTTACGCATTCTATAGTTGATAGATGATTAGAATGAAATAACAAGTATAAACAAAGAACAAAATTCGCAGATTATTAACCATAATATATGCAAACTAATTGTTTAAGATTTTTAAATTGTATTAGTAACTTGTTTTCGGAACTAAACTAATGATTTATGAGCCCACGTTATGCTTTCTAACTCAATTGTTCGAGCAAAAAAAAAAAAAACTGTCGGACGTTTCTAATAATTAAAAAATTTTATAAAAACTTAATGAACTTTTAGAATCGTATTTGTAGTAAATTACAATCTCTTGATGATAGGCGAAAAAAATATGCAAAAAATAATAGTGATAACAAACTCACCTTTAACATATTTAACGCGATATTCGGCATGGCACAAACAAAAAAATGACGCCATGCAAGAACAACCATGCATAATCGCTTGTGATAAAGTACATTAAACGCACGCTTAAGATTTGTCTGCGATATACAAAAAACAACAACTATAACGCAACTAATTTTTTTCTTTCTCTTTTTTTAAATTCAGGAACAACCATGCATAGTTATTTACGGTAAAGTACATTACATTAAACGCGCACTTAAGATTTTTCCGCGATTTACAAAAAACAACAACACTAAAGCAACTAATTTTTTTTCCTTTTTTTAAACTAAACTATTTTTTTTCCCCTTTTCTCAAAACGCGATAAATAACTTCTTTCACTAGCAATTAATAATAGAAAAATTCTACATCCGAAACACACTTTAATCGCTTGAAATATTTAAAAGAAAAATCAAGAAATTTGTGTAAAAATTACTTTGAAAGAATTTCACAATAAAACGTCTGAATTCACTCCTTCCCGCACGAACTACTCTGCGCAACTAGATTGAGCAACAAAAAATTGAAATAAACTAAAGAGATTAAATACAAAACATACTATGTTAGCTAGAAAACTC